ATATATATATATATCTGTGTGTGTTGTTTGCCCGGCACGGGGCATTCTAAGTGCGCACAGTTCCTTGCTATGTTCTTTGTCCTGTCTCTCCGGAAAGCTCCCGGGCAAGGGCTCTGCATGAGATTCCAAATTGTTCCCCTGCATCCCAGTGTGCGCATGTTGCTTTCCAGCTCCCTTCCATTCTTTTCCTTTCCTTTGACTTCTTTTTCCTGCCCTGCCCTTTGCGATGTTCTTTCCTGTCTTTGCCTTTCCTCCATTGCCTTGCTATCTGATGCCTTTTCTGCTACCCTTCCCGTTCACAAACCTCATTGACACTACGCTGGGCAGGAGGCATTCTAACTATACCGTTTTCCTGGCCATTTCCCACGAGACAACTCGTGGAGATAGTGTACACATGATATTTACATATATGATTGATTTTTCTCTCTAGTCGCATTCAAACGGCCTCCTTTCCCTTCTATTCCGGTCGTTTTGCGTTACTGTGTTTTTCTCTTTCCTTCCCTTTCAGATGTTTGTTGCGCCCTGTTCTCTGTCTGGACATGATTCAATAGAGAATGCCGCGCAATTTATATATGCAATTACATGTGTGTGTGTGTGTGTGGGTACAATAGTTTCATATATACAGCCAGCCTTTTGTTCAATCATTTTGGACAGACTGTAAGATAGAGTTGCATGGCCAAACATTTTCCCTGCAGTTGAATGAGTGGCAATAGTGACCAAGGGGGCCAAAATCAAATCCATATTGCGTACCCCAAAGCCGCATTTTACTTGCAGTGTATCAATATGTACAATAATTGTAATTATATAAAAAACACTACTCAGGTTCGAATGCTATGTTCGTTAAAGATCGCCACAGATTTTAGTGCGGCATTCTAAGTGTGTGACTGATTGCGCGCTGTAAAGTGAACGTTTGAGAAAAATATTGGACCGAAAGAAAGAATGTGGCGTGGTTCGAACTCGTTTGACCTAGACGTGCTTCTAAGTGTACATCTTCTAGACGTTTTTCCTCACCTTTCTCCCTGGAAGCATGCCTTCGCATCTGCCTTCACAAGCTTTCGCGAAACATGTTTTTGCGCAAAGGGTGTCATTCTAAGCCTCATCACCTGCACACATATATACAAATATGCTGGAACTTTGGAAAATGGCATTCTAAGCCTAGGGGCCTTTCTCACGTAACATTCTAACAATGGAAAATAAAAAAAGATAGAAATCCTCACGATAGCATTCTAAGTTCCAGTCCGTCGCTATAGATCATATTAGGGTTGAAACCGTTGCTGGAAAACCCCAAAATGCCCAAAGATTGATGTGATTCACTGAACAAGTAAGGCCCCAAATTGGCCAAGTGGACCGAAAAACACTGTTTCAAAGGCCTTCAGTGGATTTACTTCCTTATTGTGGGCGTCACTAGTTCCGCTACAGGATGAACCTGTGAAGCACTTGTCACTTGTCATTGCCGCCCGCTGGCAACACACACACACAAACACACACATCATTTGAATGATTCCTGAGGTCCAGTGAGGATGTGAAGGAGCCTTCTTGCGCCCTGCGAGAAAAAAAAACAAAGCATGGGCCCCCTTTGTTGTAAATAGGACATTGATGGGAATTCCAGTTCCAACTTTGGAAGAAGTGTTTCCATCCCAACGGCTCCCACCGAAAACCCCAACACCTTCCCACTCTGACCATTGCCTGTGGCATGAAGCCACGCACGCGCCAATGAGGCCCTTGCAGCTGTAGCCTCGATCTTGCAGAATAGGAGGAAACCGGGGACACCTCAAGGATGGATCGCGTTGATAGGGAGTCTTCGTGTGCATCTTTTGAAGTTAAGGTGATTACTGTCCCCTCTGTGTATGTCTGTGTCGCGATATTTCTTCCATGTCGTGACCCTCACGGATCCCTTCCAATAGCTGAACTAACTATAACATAGGCCAGCGGAGAACCAATTGCCCGGTTCTTGCTCTTGAAAACAACACAAGCTTGGTCTGCCCTCCACTGGTTTTATGTTCCATGAGCACCGACAGTTGGATTTCACATGATGATGGATCTGCTGCAACCCGTCTCCACACAAATGGTGCATGTTGCACAAGTAAGCCAAAGCGAGGTGTTCACTGTTGATGTTTTGACAAAGTTGAATAGTAAATACCTTGACAGGAATCCAAAAAACACTCGTTCACAACATGTAAAGTTCCATACTCAAGAGTCCGGTCCTAGTCAACTAGTCTCCAGGTTCATCCTTTCAAAAAGTCTCTCCAGGTCTTGCTTCCCAAGAAAGGTTGTCCTCAAATTTTCTTGCAACTTAATTTGGTCTCTTCTAGTCGAAGGGAAGCTAGACTTGAGAGAGGAGGGGGTGAACGAAAGGTAGCAGGCAATCACAAGTATATAACCCTGGTAGAAGTCCATGACGGCGTGAACCGGCGCAGGGGGGATTTGATCCAGGGGGCCCTTCACCCCCCCCCCCCGACGAACAGAATCAACTCTTAGAGGACCAAATTCAATGCACAATCCCAACTCCTGATTGTAATACATTTTTGCTAAAGCAAGGAGAACTCAGGTAGCTCAAGCTACCTTTCGTGACTAGGCACAACAAACCTCTAGCTCAAAGCCTTGCTCCCCCGGTTCTTAGTTCAATAAATCCTAAGTATGTACTTTTCCATGCAGGAAACACTCTTTATAGCACAAGTTAAAACATCACATATCCGAACGTTCACCCCAAAACCTGACATCTCCATGCGAACGCGACGGCTTCACCGCTCCGTTCGAAGGGCCGACCGAAGGGCAGCTCTGGGCGCTCCAAGCTCCAGGGGCCGATGCCGTGGAGGAAGGCAAAAATGAACTGCGCGGGGGTTGGTCGTATCGACCGTCGTATCGACCGGGCCAGGGGCCCAGGGGTGTGGTTTCGGGGTCAGGGGTGTGGTTGAGATTGGTTGAGGCGCAGATTTGGAGAGCCGCAAGGAGTTGAGAGGGGCTGTTGGTTTTGTGTTCGAGAAGTCCAGTAAAACCTTCTGTTACGTGGAGTGCTTGGATTCACTTCACCTGTTCCTCCAGCATACTTATACAAACCAATAGCCAAAGAACAACTGAGGGTGTACGGTGGACTAATTGCGGGCCGCGGTATCAAATTAGGATCCCGTCAAGCCAAGTGTTCATTTTCAGGAATGTCTTCACAGCAATTGAAACACCTGGAAACTGGCAGAAACTGCATATACAAATCAAGAACACTTTCTTGATCAGAAACTGTATATACACAACTGCAGTTGCAAACACTGTTTCAGCGAGTTTCAGGTCTCCCCATCTTAGGCCTATCTTGGCCCCTATTTCAGCCAAAGCTTAGGCTGCCGAGGTGTCAGCTTTTTCTTACACGGGAAGTCTTCGGTCTTCGACATGAAGACAGTGCATCGACCTGCGTCTTGCCTGGGCCTTTACAAGGGCCTCAAGTCATTGTTTACACAAACGGCCAGGGATACATATATTTAGTGCTTAGCAAGGAATCAGGGAATGGATCCCAAGGTATCTATGGCAAGGGGTCATTTCCACTGTCATTTCCTTATTCTCTACAACAAAATCTACAAAGCACAGGCAAGTATTGAAACAGCAAAACCATAGTAGGTGAGCACACAGGAACAAAAAAAACTATCCGGCAGACTGAAAGGGACACCAAATGGCCAAATGGGTAGTTGTTTGATGCATTTAACTAGCTTCGAAGGGTGGATGTTCAGCTTCCGTCTCTTGCCCTCCAGGTGGACACACCAACCATCGGCATCTATATATTATAGTAGCGGATTTTTCTCACCCCTACACCACTACAGTACCTTCGAAAAAGACCTCACAACCCAATCGCCCTCGGCTTCCTTTCTTCCCTTCAGGACCCGTTCCAGATCTTCAACCGTCTTCGAAGGCACCGCACCCAGGTGGAAATCAGCAAATAGTAGAGCTTCACCTCGACGGCAAACCCTCGTTCGATCCAACCGTTTCGGGCCTCGGGGGGTCATTCAATCATCCAATTCAACGATTGCTCGAAAGCAAACACCACATGTTGCGACGCACTGCGACGCATCCACAGGTCTCAACTGTCTCAACTACGTACTTCCCAGTGAAACGGGGGGAATCCAGTCGGAGATACCCAGCCGGGCCATCCCAAGCGCTGTCGATCTGTCGTCCCACCCCGCAAGCGGACAAGGTGCCATGGGCCGCCGCAGGCACATCACAACACCGGAGGAAATCACCTCAGACACACGCAGATGGAAGCAGACGCGCAGGTGACTGGCATATTTGCCTAAATTGGGGTGGTTGGAGGGGCAATGTAATGTTTACTTCTGAATGAAGAATTGCCCGTTAATCATCTATGTCTATGCTTTCAAAAACAAAATATAAATGGCCCCAAAAATATACTATGTGTTTCTGGACCCTGATTTTCAGCTGCTTCCAAACCTTAATTCATCCAAGCTGATTCTGAGCTTTTGACTGATTCCAACACTTGTTGTTTACTGTCAACCTGTTTGTTTCAATTTGGCTGCTACATTGTCCTTTTTTAGATTGTTTATTGCAAGCAGCCCAAACCTTCAATTACTCCAAACCTCAAATAATACTAAGCAAACCCTGGGTGGTTCTTTTGGTGGGTTCCTTTACAATTATCTTCATGTCCTTTCATTTTCCCTTCATGTCCTTTTCTTTCCATTTCATGTTTCTTTCATTTCCTTTCCTGTCCTTTCATGTTCCTCACCTTTCTTTTCATGTCCGTTTCTTTCCTTTAATGTTTTGCTTATTTCAAATCCAAATCATTTTTTCTGGTATTTCTATGGATTTTACATTCTTTAGGTCCTGCACTTGAGATGAAAGGGGAGGAGGGGTTTTACTATTCAGAAGTCGACATTATATGTTAAATTGTCATATACATGGGTTGTCAGGAATTTAAGTTATATCTATATATTCGACAAATCTAACTCTGTCCTAGCCAACGCATTTACTACAATTTGTTGTTTTCTCTATACTTGTCCCGCTTCACACCGATTTGGGAAATGATTCGCACAAACAAACAGCCGTGTCATCAAAGAAAAAAGATGTGCTTTTGGAGTCACTGCTTCGGGAACTTTTATCGTTGATGTGCACAATTGGGTACAAACTAAAAAGCAACACCTGCCAGTGATGGGATCTTTGCATGGGCAATCTTTGTATCTGTGAAGCAGCTGTGCTGCCTGTTTGTCTCTGAGATTCTCACAGGGTGGATGTGCTGCACCACAAACAATTGAAGGTGGTCCCTGCTTAGGAAGTCATAATGAAGTACTGTAATTGCCGGCACCGTCAAAAGGGTGGTTCGACCCCGTCACCATGTATTTTCCTACCACCCCCTGAACCCAGCGCTAGTGGACAATCAACCTGCGCATGTGCTTGGTATTTTTGGAACACACCAAGCATCCAAACCTATCACTCTCAATCGCCAAAACCTTCAAAGTGACACGTTGAGATCCTCAGGAAGAGGCCAGTGAGTCGTCCCTGAACAGGTCACTCAGAGATTCCAAAGAGGTCATTTTGCAAGTGCTAGCACGATTTCCATCTATCATGCTACATCTGCCAAAACCACATGTGGTATCAAATCCATCTGTGGGGACAATTGATTCCAATCTGCTCCTTTCTGCGTGTCCGCGGGTTGGACAGCTAAACATCGATTGATGTTTGGGAGGGGTTGGAACCGGTTGGGATGACCAAACAGGCCAAACAACTAACCAGGCTTTCTTGGCCTCTTGCTCACATATTGGTTCGTCTTGGCGCATGTGACGCTGAAACCCTTTCACTGGCTGACTGACACGTTCCCTTTTGTTCTGCTCGGGGTATGAAACTGTTGTGTCAGCCAAAACCTGATCCAGGCTTTCTGAACCCCTTTCTGCTGGCTCTGGGTTTGGAGACTTCGACTCGTTTTCTTGCTTTGTGTCCAACGCGTCAAGATCGGACACGTCTGCTTGCCTTCGGAGGCTGATCTTGAAACAAGGCAAGGCCCAAGGCAAAAGGACCTGTTTCAGATTTACTTGCTGATTTGGAATGTTCAATCTCAATGGCCATGACAACACCATGACAGTTTGAACAATGCTACAAGCTCCTAAGCAACGAGCACCGAAGACGCATTCTCCGATAGTCATTGCATATGTGTTGAAACTATGTAGCCAACAGCACATGGCAAAACAACAACAACAACAACATCATTTCTTCACTTGGAGGGAACATTTTGTCGGATGAGCGTCTTAAATCTACTAATGACTTGACGTGAACAGGGAATACCGAAACATATGCTGAAACGGGTTATATAAGTCCCTTGCCACTCCGTTCTGAAACAATCCGTGTCATGTGGCACAGGTTCAGTCAGTCCAGTAGTAGTATAATGAGATATAATGATGAATGGTTCAGGCCATGTTGTTCTTATTCATGTCAGCTCCTGGACTTCAAAAAAAATATGTGGTAAAACCGTAACACCGCATGAATCTGATTCCCCAAAATCAAGAGCCCAGCCTGGCAAAACTGCGGCAAAATATGGAAATATCCATAGTTTTGGGAATGCTTTGGGTAAACCTTCCATGTTCGGAGAAACACAACTGGTCAAAAACGCCCTTGTTTCTGTTCATCCTTTGCCCCTCGAATTTGAAGCGAGTCTTCCTCCTGAGGCTCCAAGCAAGGAGAAAGGCCACATCAATCCTAAGAGAGAGCGCCAACACCGAGCACCACAGCAAGCAAACCGCTTATCTACTCAAAAATGACATTGTGCTGCTGGATCTCTGATGACATGGACTTGGGAGTCAGTCATCCTGACAGCCCCTGGTTCAAAAGAATCGCGCACTTGTGGCCAAGCATGGCTGTTTGTGGCCTTTAATATCCTTTAATTAGCTTGTCGCGCCCAATCCTTGGATAGATGGGTCCACCCTTGACAAAGATGGGCCCACCCTGGAGTCACCGTGAGACAGCCAATTCACAAAAGGAAGGTGATTCAAACATCCTGGCAACATGGTGCGCTTTCTTTAAAATGTGCGCGCGCGTGTCACCGGCCTTCCTCCCATTCTTCCAACATCGGTGCCGGTGATCCGCCGGTGGTACGCCGCTCCTCATCGAAGGCCCTAGGCTTCTTTGAGGTACCACCCAAGTGGGCCCTCGAATCTGCCCGGGTGTTTGTGGTCTTTAGCTTGTCTAGCTTGCTTCTTAATGGGGGTGCAGCACTTGCCCTGGTGTGTTGCTTTAGCTTTCCTGTTTGCCTCTCACAAGCGAGGAGGTTGTAAGGCACTGCCCCTTGCCGCCTTTAGCTTGTCTGCTTGCCGTCAAAAGTACTTGACCTTGTGTTTGTGGCCCTTAGCCTGGCTGCTTCCCTCTCACAAGGGAGAGAGCGAGTACCTATCGAAAAGCATTGAAAAGCACTACCCAACGAAAAACAGTAATGTCAAAGACCTCTAAATACAGTTCATATTAGTTGTCAATTACCGCCTTCTTAAACTACAAATTCCTAAACTACAAACAAAGGTCGTGTTGATGTTGTTTCTTTTACTAATTAGGTGCCCACCCAACCCCTTATAAACAAAAGCAACATCGGAGCTGTTTTTGATTTTGGGGAGGGCGTGTTTGTTAATGGGTGGAAGGGGTTAAGGCGTTTGCCTCTCACAAAGCGGGTGAATGCAAGGTACTGGCCTTTGTGTTTGCGGCCTTTAGTTGCCTGCGACAAAGGACGTGCTCCTGTTCTGCTATCGGTGGCTTTGCCGCAACGCAGGACCAGTCCTTTCAATTCCAATCTGTGTTTTCCACTACAGGGGGCCCTTGGGCAGAAACCCACCATCGACAGGCGAAATGGCCACCACCATGAGAATCTTCTTTGGTGGATCGGACACCAAAAATGCATCATCCCCCACTTGAACATGCAAGACAAAATGCCGCGTTGCATTTCTGATACATCCTGGATGTCCAGTGACGTAGAGGGGGGGGTCACCCCGTGTTTCCTCTTTCTTCATGACATTCACCATTGGAGAAAACGTGAAGCTCTCCGACCCAAATCCCGCCCACGGACCAGGCCGAGGCTCCGGAAAGCCCAGGAACGTTTCGATCCGCTCATCAGCTGGATGCACCTCAGTCAGCACCAATCCGCTCATCCGACTGGTTACATCTGGTTATGACTGGTTAGCAAGGATCGTTGAGTGCAAATTGATTCAGGGCCACCATAAGCCCCCTTGTGGCCACTTCTCGGACTGTTCAACAACAGTCCTGACCTGGGTCTTCTGCCTGACTGCATCTTGACGAATCTTCACGGGCTTGCGAATTGAATCCCATGCAATAGACCTTCCTGTTCTTTGTTCTTTGTTTCTAATAGCGATGGCCTCCAACCATCTCCATCCTAATATATAGACTGGAACCATGCAGAACAGTGCAGAACATCCACGTTTCGACCCACCCTCCGCCCCTCCACCCAGATCCGGCCTCTTCGACTTAGGTGACGGCTGGCCGGGTTCCAAAAAAATTGAAAAGAAAGAAAGCACTGATTCCGATCTCATCCCAACCTGGGAAAGAAAACCATCGCAGGTCCGCGTCTGAAGTCAAGTCATGTCAAGAAAGAACTGCTCCGCCGCTTCGCCTCATGTCAAGCCCTTGACAACTGAAACATCCAGGAAAGCAGCCCAGGCACGAGAAGCAGGCCCAAAAGCTGTTGAGCAAGAGGAGTTGTTGACAGCCGAGCCTCATTGGCAGTGCATCGGACATCAAAGCAAGACAATGTAGACCTGGTAAACAGTGCAATATTGTACAAATTTGTACAGTATATATTGATCATATATTTATGTATATTGATTGTATATGTTGGATCTGATCAAACCTGATCTGTGTCAATTTGTGCAGGATCTTTCCCTTCAACTGCGCAGCTAGATAGACTGGGCGCTGTTCTTGGTCAAACCTGTCCAAGGATCGTTGCATTCAATTAGAAGGTGGCATGTCTTTTAATTTTCGCCAGCAAGAGCACCTGTCACGTCACTTTCGCCTTTCGTTCGCGGTTGACGAAGAAGCGCTGGAAGCGCTGCATGGATCGCTTCACCCACAGCGCTCCAGCGCTATCAGGGGTGGATTTCAAACGATTTCAATATCGGCCCTGATGCGACCGTCTCACTGTGACATGTACTGAGTTGTTCTCACTTTCGTGACGGTTTTGTGCTCTTCAGACATTTGAGTGACAGTCTGACAGTGAGCACACCTTGTTTATAGCAGGGCGATTCGCCGGTTCCTCGGATACAACTTCAAACGGTGCGAACACGAACACCCACCATGCTCTTTTCGACATTACCAGGTCTCCCGGGCTTCATATTGAGCAGTTGTCCTTCCTCTCGCCACCTGAGATGAAACGCCAAATGGTTCTTTGAGAACGGAACCCAAATGAGCAATGATTGATTGCCCTTTCAAGTTCACTTACAGTACTGGACAAAGGAATATTGTAAGCCTTGACGTCAGCTGCATTTGCTGCTTCTTTGTGCCGTAGTGAACTGGTTGGAAAGTACAAGTAGCCACGGAGCTGCAAAGGAGGAACCAACAAAGTGTGATCAAGTAGGTAAACCTGGAAAATCCAAACTGTGTCCTTTCGCCCCTCGAAGCTCGATCCTCGAAACATGCGGAGGAAGCGCACAAGCTCGGGCAGCCAGGCCTTTCCTCAAGGTCCTTGTCTTTGAAGGCCCCCCAGCCCTGGACCGGCGATTTCGACCATTAAATGAGAGGTGACCGATGGAGTGGATGATTATAGGGTGTATTTAGAGAGGGAGACTCTCGAAGAGGTCATGGCGAAAGTGGCGAAAGGAGGATTATATATATATAACGATTTAAAGCCCAAGGGTCGGAGGTCTTGACCCTTAACTGCAAACAATATCTGCAAACCGTTCTTAAATCAGTTCCAAATGGGTCTATGCAGTTTGGAATCTGGACTCGAACACCAACCCGACCTCCGACATCGGTCAGCCAGCATTGATGGAGACTCGGTCCAAAAGCAATCCAAAGCATGGGCAAGCAACTCCATAGTCCACAGAGAGATCATCGAATCAAAACCCCCTCACACTAGAAACAATATGTGCCATCTCATTCTTTGTCACATGGGAGTCATCTGAATCTAGATTGGGCCACTTGGGGTCATTGTCCGCATTGAAACCAACTGTCAGACGCTTGGCCACAGGCTCTCCTTCAACCCACAGAGAGCCGAGCCTTGTGACGGGTCCCGGCGTCCTGAGATGTCCAGCCTAGCCTTTCCCATCCGGTCTCCAGGCCTCCAGGTCCCTTGGACCACCCGGAGGGCCCCTTCTGACCCCAACCGCCTTGGTGTCCTCTTGGTCCACCTCCTCCGAGCCCAAGCGCTCCCTGCACAGACCAACACGAGCGATCAAGCAGGCGGAGATCGATCAAATCAAAAGGACGAGTCAAGGACAGGCAGTTGGAGGTTCCAATTCAGAGCTTCAGTTTTGGCTGTGAGTCTCCGCAGCATCATGTAGAACATGACCATCTCCAATCAGCCCTCAACATGTCGCACTTTCGGGCCCGATATGGCCCGATGAAGTCATAGAAAAGGTCGTGCAGGGCGAGTGTTCCCCTTCCTTGGTGCCTTGCTTGGGACTGGAAATCCGTGATCAAAGGTTCCTTGGACATGCTTGGACCAAGCTCAACACTGCCGTAAGATTATATAAGTCTAATTTGGGTTGTCGAGGAAAAACACAACCAAATCGGAACGACAATCTGCAGTTCATGATTATAAGAAGCGTTTGGCGGTCTTCGATCTGTGCCTCGTCCGGGTGGACAAGCGTGAGCCCAGGAGCCTTGCAGAAGCTTTGACTCGCTTGACCCAAACACCACTGCATGAGACTGACATATTTACCACTATTTGCCCATCAATATATATATATATAGGTATAGATTTGGGGATTATTTAAACAAAACATGAAAAGGGCTCGGGCATATTCCAAACATCCAGTGTCTGGGACATGCAAGTGGACATTAAACGATGCGAAAACTTGCTTTCGCCTACAAACAGGGGGTTGTCCACTTCCAGCTGAGTCGGAGGGTAGCTGCTTCAAGTTCGACCACTTGGAAGAAGCAGGAAAATCCATTATTCTCTACTCTGTGGCAGATTCACTAGGAAAAAACTGTGGCCTAAAACCCCCCCGTCGGATTTGATCCACCCTGTTGATGCCATTCACAGCAGTCCCAAATGCGGGTGCCGAATTCCCATGGCAATTGGGACTGGAAAATATGCCACCCCATGTACGACCCCTTTTTAACCACCACAACGTAGGCAAATACTTTCCCTTTTCAACCACCACAATATGGCAGTCCCATTGTTCTTTCGTCTGCGAATTTGCTTCCGAGCTGGAGGAAGATGTGGACATCAAATCCCATGAGCGATCCCACCAAACGTGCAATGGGACTGTCCTGAAGAATGTATCATCATACTCATCACCACAGTTTAGAGAAACATCTGAAAATGTGCAAACAACTTCGCGTGTTGCAAATAATCAAATACTTCTTGCGACCTGTTGTTACAAGTAAACATAAGAGTCTTGCGATAATGTTCCAACTCCTCTCTGCATGCAGCACAAGTTTGTTTGTGTTGCCAAATCACCCAGATTACCAATGCTGAACTTAAGCCCCACATATCCACAAGTCTTATACAACACTGCCGTGTTAGGATGCTTTGAGACAGAAATTAGCCGTCCTTCCTTTATATCCAGCCATGCCAGTCTTGTCGCCGCACACGGGTCGCGCGCACGTTTATTAGAGTCGTACCTGGAGGTGACATTTCCGTTGGCCATCCGTGACTGGAAGACTCACCGACGCAAGGGGGTGGTCATAATGAAGACACACCCCAAACGTACGGTTTGGGAAGAAGCCAACGGTGTATTGGGCGCCCATCTATTTCAGAATCACCATGTTAACTCATATCATGTTAATCCTGTCAACGTTTTCCAACGTTCGCCAACATGTGGGAGGCAACCTGATCTCCAAACATTCCTCCAAGTTAACAAACCGCAGGGATGCACTTAGTACAATCGCAGCCTCATAGGGGTATTGTTGGGATCCCCCATGTAGATAGCAACACTGCTGAATCATTACATGGTAATGAGCAGTGAACACCTGTCCTGTCTAATTGAATCTATATACCATATATCTGCCTCATAAATAGGTGTCTGATCAGTGCAAGTAAGGAGACTAATGAGTGCTCTCCTTCATATGCCATGATCGGCCCGCATGTTGTTGAAGTGCAATATGCTTGTGTTTCTTAAGCATGCCTTTCGTGCCAACGATTTGAGTTGTTGTCTTGTTGACTCTTGTTGGTTGGTTGGAGGCATCTTTGCTTACCAAACATAATTGAATTGACATGAATTGATGTCTTCCAGATTTGCAACTATACCCAACAAGCATACTGCGTACTACGTACAACTGAGCCAGTGGCGTCACAATGTGCGTCAAGGCACAGCAGAAACGCAACTCAACACCACATGACTAGATATTGGGGTCTACCTATACTGAAGTACTTCGAACATGATCGAACCCTAGCCAAGGGATGGCAAGGGCATCTCCAGACTTTGTGAAATCTTTGGCCAAAGCATAGGATAGTCTGGGCAAAAACGGGCTTACACACATATTGAGACTTGAATAAGTTCATCCAAGGTCCGATGTCTCAAAATTAGCAGAAAAAAAACGGCTGATCTGTAAATCTGCCAGTTCCATGGACTGCTTTCGACACGTATCGACATCTCGTCGAGTGCCAGTGCCCGACACGACGAATTTCGGCCGGTCCGAAAGAGAGGGACATCGTTTGTCTGCACAGGATTATTTTGCTTCTCAAGGGTGCGTGAGAATACGTCACAGTCTGTTCCAATGGCAGCCAATCTATTGCAGGCACGCGAAGAGTTGATCGTGACAAGGACACGACGTGGGTGTCCTGGGTGTTATCGGTCTTCTTCCGTCTTAGGACAATCTTCTTGCGAAACTACATCCGATCCCGATGCCCCCTAACAAAAGCGCCCAGCTTGCAAGAGAAATGCAAACATGATCACACATGTTCTGAACGCCGATAGGGCGATAGGAACGATCGATGGCAATAGTCATTTAGCCAAAGATTCGCTAGATGAACCCAAGATCGAAGAAGCAAGACACCAGCCGTCCAGCTCCCAGAAAGGACTCTCCCAGACTCTGCGGATCAGATTGGTTGAGTCTGGTTGAGTCTCGGTACTTCTGTGGATGCATTTTTTCAGACCCCCATCAGGAACCACATGGTACCACTGGTGACTTCTCCTTCCGGTCGAACTGGGAGGTCTCTAGAAGCGATGCACTTGTTCCTAGTAGCTTATTGTTTCTACTATCTTCTTGTTACTACCAGTACTAGTAAGGCACCTGTTACTACTAGCGTGGCACTTGTTACTAGTATTTGATACACAATCATACACACCCTGTTGACTTCTGAAAAACTCCACCAATGGGTGCGCATTGAACAGGATTTTCTGCTCCAGTTGGACTCCTTTGGAAGAGCAAACATGGACAACCAAACTCATTGGAATACTAAGGTTGTTTCAACCACCAAAAAGCCTTAGAAATATGGCAGGTACAATCTCGGCACCCTGAAGAGCCAAAAAACAACCGATTTGCAGGTGACTCAGACTTGGTCTACCCATTGTCCCTCTTGCCCCTTTCCCGAAACTGTTGTAGAAGCACATATTGTTCGACATATATATATATATAAGAGATGTAAATGAGAGAACAACGACAATACCAAAGAAATGACGCGTAGCCGCTTATCCTATTCCAACACAGAAACTCTCATCATCCAACGATCTCAATCTTCGCTTCGATGGCTTCTTCGGGTTTCTTCTCACCCCATCTTTCGTGAGGCTTAGCCTCCACTGTTCAATAGCCCACGGCTGGCGCAACCCCACCATCTGAGCAAACTGACGGAAGGCATTCGAGTGTCTTGTGACATTTCCCCGGCCAAGCTTGGAGTTGTTGACCAAGCCTTTGAAAACATGGAGCAATACACTCTCAAAAGAAAACATTGCAGTGGAAAAGGGCCCCTTGGAAAATGTCTTTCCTCTACAATATGGCATGTTCCTCTGCCATGCTTATAGTTTCTGCTACTGTAGCGCATTCCAAACAGACTTACTTGAAAAAGGCAAGAAAACAAGCAACATCTAAAGACCCATAAAACCAATCTCTGTGGAGATATAATCATGGGGTCACCGCGGCGGTCAGTGGTCAGTTGATCCCATAGTAGTTCGTTCTTCTCTAGATGAAATACCAAACATTTCGACCCAACAAAAACACCCCAGTAGCTTCATAGACCTTGAACAGAATCTCTGTTAGAGATGGCACCATGCACGTTCTCCATGCACCCGTTCGGTGGCGCTCAAAAGCCGTGGCGACCGGTTCTCAGAGCCGTTCCAGCATCAAAGCACATTGACCTGGCCCGCGAGGAACAGGGACTTGAGTGCAAATCTTCTTGACACCAAAGACTACCGGAATATATGAGTTATTTACACAGACACACACGCACATATATATATACATATATATGTATGTATATATATATATGCATGGATACGGACTGACAAACACCTCAATTGACTTATCAAACCACTACAATAATTACAATGTTGATAAACAAATCAAAACATACAAGGGTGATTGCCTGCGACAGTTTCCCACCCTGGGGCTTCCAAATTTGAAGAAAGGCTCAAACAACTTCCCACTCCCGGACTCCCTGAACGCAAAATATGAGGAACGCCTAGCGGCATAGTTGTTCATTGAGGGTTGGGGGTATGTACTAATTTTGACAATGTCAGCAAGTCAAGTTTAAGTTATTACTATATATACATTACATTACATGACCAAACCTCATCTGGCTGGAGGAACCTTGAAGAACAAACAGGTACAGTAGCACAACTGGCGGCGTCTCAGCACCGCACGATGTGCGTCCCAAGGTGTCCATCACGACTCACACCCGGGAAAACTGAACCAAATGCCAAAAAAAGAGAGAGACAAAGAAACCACGAGTTCTCTTTGCAGGCCAACTGTATCATACTGATCATACCTTGAAAGGTATTGCATTGCACTTTCATGCTACGCTCGCGGGGTGTCTGGACACGTTATGTTGCCCGCATGTTGAAGGCACAAACTCGGCCAAGTATAACACTGCTGATCTCCATCAGTCTCATCCCAACGCAATCCGCAATGGGAGGACCAGCCGATGTTAAGCACAAATCACAAGTGGATCACAAGGTGCTCGCACAGGGTGGCTCAGGATCTTCAGGAGACTTGGACCACATGATCTCAGCGCATTGACCTGACCCGCCGTGGAGGCTCCTGCGAGATCCCGCCTGCGAGGCCAGCCTGGGCGAGCGTCTCCTCACGATCCTGCACCGAAAGGTGGCATGTCCATAGCACATGCAAACAAGGATGACAGATGTGACGTGTATATTAGTATTACAATGCATTATATCTACATCGTCTACAGCAAGATACATAGCAAGATTCCTGAATAATTTGCGAAAGGTTTGGGACCGCCAAACACGGCGAAAAACAACAAACAACTGGGGCCTAGGTCATCCTTCAACCAGGTGGCCTTGGACTATTTTTTGACCTACTCGTTTGATCTAGCCAAGCTGACTCCTAGGTTTAGTACTGATAAATATGATAAATAGCTCTATATATCTCCAGAAAGGGTAGCCATGGGGGGTGGAGTGGTGTAGATTGTACAAACGCAGGTTTTTGTGAGGGTAGTGATATGCAAACATTAGCAAGTGCAAAATAGTTTCTGAAAACAATCGACACACCAAAAGAAACAACAACAAGTTCAGACCAAAAGGACAAACAAAAAACACAAACCCAAGTCTCCTGTCCAGCCTCTCCTGGGTCCCTCTCCATGGCTCGGAACTCTCCATGGCTCGAGATTTGTATTTTTTTGGGGGGGCGGTCTGCCTAAAAAGTGCCCCCCCCCAAAAACGAAAAAATCAGACCTATGTCTCCTGGCCAGCCTCTCCTGGGTCGGGTCCCTCTCTATGGGTCTGAACCTTTTTTTGGTTTTGTTTTTGCTGGTCTGCCAAAAGTGCACCCCCAAAAAAAACACAAAAAGGTCAGACCTATGTCTCCTGTCCACCCTCTCCTGGGTCCCTCTCCATGGGTCTGAACTTTTTGTCTTTTTGGTTTTGGCTGGTCTGCCAATAAGTGCACCAAAAAAAAAATCAGACCTATGTCTCCTGTCCAGCCTCTCCTGGGTCCCTCTCCCTGGGTCTGAATTTTTTGTTCTTTTTGGCTGGTCCTCTCTCTCTCTCTCCATGGGGCGGCCAAGGAGGGAACGCTGGAGGAGGGGCGGGTTGGAACGCACTCAGCAAGACCTCAGCTGCGTCTTGGCAAAGCGCAGCTCACCAAGATTGATTTGAGCTTCTGGCCAAGTCCAAGTCGGATACAAGTAGGGTAGAATTGAATAGGTTTGGTTTTGAATTCAAGTGAAATCAAATTAGACTTTAGCTATTGGGGTTGGCAATTCTTGGCCTTCTGATTCTGATGTACTTACTCAACTGCATTCAATAAGAGCAATGCAACTCACACTCTACAAGCAAGAAATATGGTTTTGCATGGGGGGGGGTGCGTGGAATTAGATTACGACATCCAAGAACTTTGTAGTAAACACCTAACCATATGGATTTAGACATTTTGTAGTACATAGTTGAATGAACAAATATGCTTACCAACTGCACATGAGCAAAAGAACAAAATCACAACTTTCACAACCCTATCAACGTCATATCATCTGCAAAAAGAGCAAAACCTTACACAATCACAACTTTCACAACCCCACCCCCCATGACTACCCGCTCTCTATATATACCACTATATCCGTATATACTGGGGCCCGCTCAAGTTAGTACATTTAGTACATTCTTCAACTGGGATAATAAACCACCATGGAATGCCGATTTGCAACAGTCAGCACTTAAGTCAAGACTGCTGGCCTTCCCCACTGTAAGCGCTACATGCAGAACAAGGTTCAGCAGATCACAGTTGCCAACAAATGAAAACTCAAACTGCAATACCTATTGTAAACGCAAGTTCGACAAAGCTGTTTTCACCTCGCGACCTCAGGTTAAACCTGGAACGTGTTGCACGGCTCCAGTGTTCACTTCGTTCAACCTTTGGCCGTCTTGAAATCACCCTAGTCCCATCCTTGAGATCTAAAACTCTCATGTTCCTTGATTTCGAATCTGTTGAGAACTTGCAGAAGTTGCTACAAACACGCAAGACACCCATTCATTCGCTCAGGCTTGTATGACTAGACCAAATCGATCTATTTCGCAATCTCACGTTCGTCATCATCATTGCAAACAATGCCCACCAAAAAAGGCTGTATATGAGAGAAACCGCGCAGAACCTATACAGCTTAGATCGATATATCATATCAAGGCGATTCGAGGCGGCGTCGCAACCCCAGCCACCCCACAACCACCCAGCCGACCTACCAATCAAAATGCGCTCCCGCGTGAATGACCCAATGAAAGAAGTGTGGGAGCACAGATTGCCCATCAAGCTTCCGCGACAAATCCGTTGATGAAGTAAACTCAATGAGCATGTTCTTTGGAGGCTAAGGAGCTTTGAAGAGCACGATGGGAACAAGAAGAAGATGAGTGGACTACACGCAGAAGTCCAGGAAGAGGTGGCTCGGAGGCAGGGTTTTCTGAGACCACGACATGTTGTCAAATTCGATTGGTAATGGTGTCAATGGAGTCAACTGTTGTCGATTGATGTGTGGGCCCTTGATGCTGCCTCACATTCATTTCATGTTTGCAACCTATGAAGGATCTTTGTGCAAAGCTCCACATTCACATCACATGTGAAACTGCACTCTCATGAGCGCCAACGCACCGTCTTCGTGCGCAAACTGTCGCACCGCGTTGGCCAGAGCCGGGAACTCGTCCATACCACTCTTCAAGCTTGAGCGGAACAGCTTCCGCCCACGAACCAACATCTCACGCGCCTGCTGCAGGGTTGCCGCGCTCACTGTTTGAGGTGCCCACAACCGGTGTAGTCCATGGAGGTTCAGAAGCTTCTGAGCCCCCGTACCCACCAGAATGCACTCGTCCGATGTCAACAGCCAATGCCGATATATAGGATTGTATGTTTTTAGAAGTCAATCGGCCAAATGCCGCGGTCAAGATGCTCGCGTGTTGCCAGCCTGCAGGTTCCTCCCAGCAAGGTTAAAAGAAGAAGTGAGTAGATCAGCCACGTGTGGCGCTGAGGCCAAGCGTCGAGAAAAGGCCTCAGTGAACTGCCTCAGCGTGGCCTTTGCACCATCCGGTGGACGCTCTGCAGAGATGGCTTAGCACAAGGGTGTGGAAGAGAACCTCGACAGCAACACGACCGCTTGTCTTCTATCCTTCACAGCAAGCCGACGAGCAATGTCATCCAGAACCAAGGTTCCGCGATCAGAACGTTCCCAGTTACTCTTCATGTCAAGAAGCTCCCGGAAAGCTGTCAGACGGGTCACCAGGAACTTGGCTGTGTGCGGCCTGCCAGGCGCACCCATTACAAGCTCACCGGCCTGCACCTCTTCGGCACCAAAGTCCCTCAGCAAAGCCTCATAGTACGCTCATCCCGTGTCCCATTCCACTGCGACTCACTCCAGGCAGATTTCCGGTAGTAGTGGTCAAAGAACCTTCTCAGCATGACCGTCCACACCACCTCATTTGGCAGCTCCTTGAGCCTCACCTGACTCCACAACGGTTGCTTCTTGAGAAGCCACTTGATCTGCCGCTTCATCATGGCGTTTTGGGGCGCCACCGGGGGAAGATGCACCAAGATGACCTGATGAGATCGGAGCTGTGGCATAGGCACCCAAGGCCCAACGCTCCCGTCGGCTTTTTGGGGCACAGCCACCGGGGGAAGATGCACCGGTCATGTCGGTGCATCTTCCTCCGGTCGCTGCGCCCCAAAAAGCCGACGGTGGGCCTTGGGCGCCTATGCCACAGGGGAATTTCCCCGGTGGCTGCGCCATAGGCGCCACAGCTCCTATCTCATCAGGTCATGAAACAGAAGCCTATTTAAATGTAATTGTCAGATGTTTTGCTGGTCTAATGTTTGATTCGAGGTGAGTAGATCTAATTTCAAGGTAAGTGGGT